TCTTCAGTCTTAGTTTTAAATTTTTTTAATGTTTTTTTATTTATTTCTTAGCGAGAGACAGCATGAGCAGGGGAGGGTCAGAGAGGGAGATACACAATCTGAAACCAGCTCCAGGCTCTGAGCTAAGCTGTCAGCACAGAGCCCGACATGGGGCTCGAACCCACGAACCGTGAGATCATGACCTGAGCTGAAGTCAGACGCTTAACCAGCTAAGCCACCCAGACGCCCCTCTTCAGTCTTAGTTTAAACGTTTCCTCAGTTGGCTTTCCCTGACCTTTGGTCCCCTTGCTATTAGCTCTCCATACTTCCCACCACATAATGACCATCACTCTTCATTGTAATTACTTGCCTGCTAATTGTTTTCTTTTAGAGCAAAATTTGGCAAGGGCAGAGACCATGTCTGCTTTATTTGTACCTGTAACCTCAGTGCTTAGAATAGACATTCATTGAATGAATATAAAATAAATGATTTGCAACATGATATTGGAGATGAATATAAAAGAAACGATCTGCAGCACGATAGAGTATAAGTCTAGTATATGCAGCTTTCCCTGGAGACACTGATGGTTGTCTCTCATTCCAGCTTAGAGCACCCTGCTTATATCACAAGGCAATAACTTTATTCTGGTTTAGAACAGTGTCATTCTTAATTTTATGCATTAATTCAGTAATAATTTAGATGCTTAAACAATCATAGCTACAGAATGAGGCTGAACCCTGAATTGCCTAAATAAACCCTGTGCCACGCTAACCTCTGTATTGTACTCATGGTAATATTTCTTAGAGTGTGTTATTCCCCCTTTATATCTGTGTCATGTTGAAATCATGGGGGAGCCCAACAATCTGAGAATGTCTAATGCAGCTGTGAAGAAGTCCAAGCCCTCAAAGTCATTGCAGCTTTTCAGTGACATCCGAGAGTCAAATTTCTCTAGTGCCAACTCCATCCTTGTGGGCTTTTGAATGTTTCTGAATTTTTAAGCTTATTATATATACACGTATGTATCAGTAAAGTTATATCAGTTATATGCTTGAGGTATACCTACATTATGATGCAGATCTAGAGTTATTTCATTGATAATTTCCCTACTATTGGAAATACTGCTGATTGGCTGCTGAAGTCCATCTCCCACCTGCTTCCCTCTTGCCCGCCTCCAAGAGGAGGCAGGAAAAGTCAGATATCCACATTGCCAGCTTCCCATGCAGGTGAAGGCCACCGTGTGACTTTGCTCTGGCCAGTGATATGGGAAAAGGATATTTTCTTTCCCCAATGAGGGATGGGAAAGGGACCCAAATGGCCTTGCCTACCCTTGTTGCCTTCCTGGTCCTGCCTCTGAATGCAGTATGATGCTGGACACTGTAACAGCCACCTTGCGACGATGACAGAATGAGCCTGAGGATGAGAAGCTGACATGTGAAGGATCGCAGAATGGCAAGAAGGAACCCGGCCCGCTGATGATACTGTGGGGTAGCTGATCCAGTGTTAGTAACAACCCACCTCCAGACTTCTTGCTCTGTGAGAAAGATAAGCCCTCCCATTTGTTTAAACTGCCGTTGTATGCAGTTCTAAACATCTGAACACCATCTACTGGATGCACCCAGTGACTTTAACATTTTCTTCATGAAAACTAAACCAGAACATATTATGGACACCTGACCATTTCTACTTGCATTTGTTTGTTGCAAGAGTACTTAGATTTTTGTAAGAAGCCTGGAGAAGGATGAACTTCATTTAAAAGCTTTGGTCTTTATAGTTGTAGAAGCCAGGAGGAGCCACCTCTTGTCACAATGAATGCTACAAGTTCTGAGGGATGTGTATTGCAGAGAACTTCTGTATGACTAAATACTGCATTGGGAGCTGGGAGAGCTAGGTTCAGGTGAGATGTTCAGTGAGATATGTGACCATAGACATATGTTTGTCTGTGAGTTTTTCTCATCTGTTGTACCATTTGTAGGATGCTTTATGCGAAAGTAACAGAAAACTCAACTCAAAATGGTTTGAACAACGAGGGAATTCATTGCCTTATGTGACCAGGAAGTGTAGAGAGTTGGCTAAACAAGAGATTGATAATGTCACTGAGGACATCTCCACCTTGTCACCCCTCAATTCCGCCTTCATCTTGGGTCTGACTACCCTAATGGGTACCAGATGTCTGATGGCAAAAGTTCGAAGCCAATATGGTGGTTGGGGGTGGGGTGTGGAGAAAGAGAGTGTTTCGAGATCATAAGGGGAAAAGTCCTGAGCTTTGTGTTGGTTGGAAGACCTTGAACCACTCAAAGTCAGCGACCACGGAATGCAAGAGTTGGTTAAGATAGGCCCATCACTGTGGCAAGAGGGTTGCATTTATTAGTTTAATGAATCTCCAAGTGAGGTGGTTACAATCCCACATCAAACCCAGAGCTGCTACCCCATGGTGGAGGAGTGGAATGGTTCCTGAGAGAGCAAACATCGCATCCCCCACATCTGTAAATGACTGATTTAGACTGGCTGATGTCTAAGGCTCTTTTCAGATCGACACTGGCTGTGATTCCATGAGCAGGGTGCAATCCTGTCTCTGTAATTGTCTTTTTTATTTAATTCCACTTTCTTTTCTTTTTTATTATTTTAGAGAGAGAGAGAGAGAGAGAGAGAGAGAGAGGGAGAGAATGCAAGCGGGGGAGAGGAGCAGAGGGAAAGAGAAAGAGAGAGAATCTTAAGCAGGCTCCATGCTCAGTGCAGAGCCTGACCCAGGGTTTGATCCCACTACCCTGAGCTGAAACCAAGAGTCAGATGCTCAACCGACTGAGCCACCCAGGCACCGCAATCACTTTCTTTTATTTTATAATTGTCCTTTTCTACCTGAGTATCGACTCCTGTGGAAGATAACAAACCCTCAAATGAAGTTGATAAATCTTGACATTACTCAGACTTGCGCTAGGAAGAGGAAGTGAAGCCGACAAGGGGACTTGTGAGGGTCACTGTGCATTTTAGGGTGGAATGGAGTGATGGCCTTATTCATTTGACACCAGGTGCACATGCCAACTTAGGATGACAGTGACTTGGAACTTAGGGTGACAGTGACTCAGAAGTGTCGAATCCTCAATGGAGGTGATGTTTCTCAGTCTCGAAAGCTCCCTTCTAGAGAATGCACAAGCTCTTTGGGAAAGAAGGAAGACCTTCTCATACAATTACATTTTTCCTCTGATTTGCATTAAAAAAAAAGTGTTTAGTACTCAAATCCTTAACATTAGCAAATCTCTCAGTCTCTTGAGGGAGTGGTCAAGGGTCTGCACAAAACGTTTCTGAAGAGAAAATAGGCTGAGTCTCCACCCACCCCGCCATTCACTTTGGTAAATACTTTTTTCTTTTCTTTTTTTTTTTTTTTTAATTACCGCACCGAGAATTTTACCAGGTGATTTCTAGAAGCCGACTTATATGAACTAATTGGGCACTTCTGCTGTGCAGAGGAACAAAGACTTTTTTTTATTGGTCCTTAACTGAGGCATATACCTGTCTGACGGCGTTGCCTCATTCTGCACATGCTCAGTTGAACAGAAATCTTCATATTGAATACAACCTAGCACAGCGGCAACACCCAGAACCTCACTCCCTGGCTGACCCTGTGCATCCACTCCCTCTAGTTGCATTTTTGTCCTGATATGTCTAACATTTATAGGGAGTACAGGGAGCAGGGTACGTACTGAAAGCTCGGGGGTGGGGGTAGGCGATCTACAAAGGGGCTTAAAGTCTGTGTCCCTGCCTTCCTGACCTCTCTCTAGGCTGTCTCTACTGAGGGCAAGCGTTGGTCAGATATTCGTTGAGTTTGGGACAGAACGCGGAGAGGCTGTCTCTATGAATTGTCACTTATCGCTGCGCACGTTCCTGGACAGTTTTTGTTTGGTCCTTTTCTTGTAGGTGGACGACTTTCCTTCCTCAGCCCTCATTTTCATTAAGGAATGCAGAGTGGCACTAAAAGCATCCGCCGCCCTGCACGGTCTGGAATGACAGCCTCTCCACCTCTCTTCTGGTTTTTCCCATTCATTAGGACGCTTTCCCAGCGTCTTACCCCAGCACAAACCGGGAAGGGCTTCCTGCAGTTACAAAAGAAGAGAGGGGAGCGGCCGGGGTTCGAGGGTCTCGCCGCAGAGAGCCAAGAACGTGCGTTCGGTCGTGGACCTTTTTGTGCCTGGTCCACTTCCGCTGTTCGGTCGCGGAGGGGACGACCCGACCGGCCCCCGCCTCAGCAGCTGCCGCCCGCGCGCCCCTCGGGCGGACCCCCCGCCCCTTCTAGATCCCCGACGCCCGCCCGTTCGCCGTGACGTGACCCGTGGCGCGCGCATGCGCCGCTCAGCCCCGTTCCCGGTCCCTCGGCCACCGCCTCCCGACGGGCTGGAGTGGGCGGGGCCTGTGGTTCTGGAAGCCGCGCGGCCGTAGGGGGAGGAGGGCGTGTGTGCGCGAGGCGGGTGCGCGGGGCTCGTGAGCTGGTCGGCGGCTGGGGCGGAGGAGGAGGAGCTGAAGGCGGCGGCCGCGGCTCCCGCCCGCACAGACAGCCAGTCCCGCGAAGCCCCCTCCCACTCTCAGGCGGGCGGCGGCGGCGGCGGGAGGAGGAGAAGGAGGAGGGAGCGTCTCTGCCGCCGCCTCCTGGTCCCCAGCGCCGATCTGCCGCCGCCACCTCCCTCCGCGGCGATCCTCCCTCCATGGTCCTGCCGCGGCCCCCCCTGTAGCCCGAGCTGCCCCGCGCCTCGCCGGAGCCAGCCTCGGCAGAGGGAGCGGTCGCGGCCTCGCGGCCCGCGCGGGCTGACGAGTGGAGAGCGCGGCGCCGCGCGGTCCCCGAGGATCCGCACGCCGGGCAGCGCGGCCCGAGCAGCGCGAGGAGCAGCGGGCGGGCGGGCGGCGCCGGGCCCGGGCCGCCCTCGCTCCCGCGCCCCGGCCCCGCCGCCCGCGCCGGGGCGGTCGCCCGCGGAGGAAGGCGCCGCAGTCGCCGGGCCTCGCAGCCCCACTCGAGCGTCCTCAGCACCGAGGGCTCGCGGGTCCTGAGGGGAGGAGGAGAGCCAGGGGCCGGGCACTGAGCTCTTTGGCGCCCCCACCCCCGTTTTCGGAGCCCTCCACGCTGCGGCCGCTGTCCCCTCCGGACCATGGCCGACGACGACGTGCTGTTCGAGGATGTGTACGAGCTGTGCGAGGTGATCGGCAAGTGAGTCCCCACGCGAGGGAGCGGGAGTGTGGAAAAATGCATTTCAGTGATGCCCGGGTCCTCCCGCACCGGCACCCGCTCCGGGCCTGCCCCCCTGCCCTCCCTCCCCTCCGCCTTCCTCGTCCTCCTCACCCGGGCGTATTTATAGACGTGTACCTGGACCTCCTGCCGGGCGGGGGTCCCGGGGGTTCTCAGCCAGCCGTGGAAGCCACCGAGCCGAGGTCCGCCGCCCCACGAGGCGTGCGGCCGGCCGAAATCCGCTGTCTGCATTTTATCTGACGGTTGCACAGGGACGTGGCAGCCCCGATTTTATAGTTGCTTCCTGGGAACAGTTGGGGTTATTGTTACCTTGCGTGTACCACAGACCATTAACGAAAAGAGCAGCTTGCATTTCCTTTGCTTGCATGGACCGAGAGAGAGAGAACGTCCAGGGTTTTTAATTGTGGGGTGTGTGTCTATTGTGCAGGATATTAGCTAGATGCCTTTGTGTTCACCCCATGCCCGGATTGGACGGGGTCATTTTCAGACGGGGTGCGTTCAGTTTCGGCAAATTCCTCACCCGGTGTAGACCAGCGTGGAAAGAGTTGGGGGTATCCGAATTTTTAATGCCTCGTTATGCAATGACTGTTAAATCAGTGTTCGAGGCTTCCCTCGACTGTTGGGATGGTGGTGGTTCGTGTGGCAGAGCCGTCTGCTTTGAGTCACCGGGCTGGTCTAGAATATAGAACTGACAGTCCAAATGCTCATCCTTTCATCTGTGTTGTATAATTACACTAGGGAAAAGCAGGGAATCAGATTAATCACAGTGCTGATTGAGAATTAAATCTGCAGTTCCTCATCTAATTGTCCATTCCTTAAATCTGTTTTGAATAGTTTCCTTTTCATTCTTGTCAAACAGTATTCCAAGTGCACAATCCTGCTAATTTGCTTGTGAGGCAAAGGCTGGCGATCCGAAGTTGATTTCCTAGTTCAGCGTGTATTCTGTGCCTTTAGAAGTTGAGGAGATCAGATTTAAGAGCAATTTTTGCTCCTTTATGAAGGATTGCTGGGTAGCTACGGGGGAAATATTTTACCTCTTTTCAGAAGCGGTGCTTTATTGTCTATTTTAAGGTCCGCAGTTGGGAAATGAAACCAAGACCTTAGAGCAGTTGGCTGTATCCCTTTTAAGTTGTCTGCAGTACTGGATTTCAATTTGTTTAAGTGCTGATAACTCATTTTTTTCCCCTTCAGTGTTGAGGTATTACAGTGTTGCCTCACATGGGGAAATTATGGGTAGAGCTTGCTACACACTTTGCTCAGACCCAATTGATACAAGGACGTGTTACTCCTTGCCCCTATTGTTACATGACCAGCCTGTCTGCTAGAAGAAGGATATCCAAATGCGCCCTGGTCAAGTGTTTCTGGAAGTGCTCCAGAGCAGCGCTGTCCGGAAGATAATATAATGCAAGGCACATATGTAATTTTATGTACAAAAATTTTACATATGTAAATTTTCCAATGGCCGTGTTAAAAAAAATGAAAGCAAATAGGTGCAGTCGATATTAATGAAATATTTTGTTTAAGCCAGTAGACCCAAACTATTAGCACTTCAACACGTATTCAGTGTAGAAATTATTTAGGAGCTATTTTACATCCTTTCTTTTGTGCTCAGTCTTTGAAATCCAATGTGTATTTTACAAGTTTTCTTAAACACATCTAAAAGTTTTCTAATAATCAAATCGATCTCTTTCTAAATTTTAATTGTAATTAATTAAAATGGAATGAAATTCAAAATTCAGTTTCTCATTTGGACTAGCTACATTTCAAGTGCTCCAAGGCTATATGTGGATAGCACTGTTCTATAGAGATAAATACGTTAAAAAAAAAAAATCTCCTTGGTTTCTTCATTCTTAGCACTCGGGCGAGGTGAATTAGGTGTTTCCCAAAAGCTCCCAAATGACTGTGTGGGTGAATAATATTTGTTGTGCCTTAGTTACATTTGCCTTAAATGAGCCAGCAAAATCATAATTGGAATATGTGAAATTAAAATGTTAATTATATTGTGATGACGGAATATAGCTATCATTGGATCAATGTTCGTAACCAGTTCTGATCCCTTAAGGTCTGGAAGAGTGATGATGTGATCTCTTTGGATATCAAAAAGAAGTGGTCAGCATCACATTAGCACAATCAGTATTCTGCTGGCTTATAATTGATAGAATGTTTTCAGGAAACACCTCTGGTAGAACTAAATTCATCTTTTCTGTTGCTTTAGAACTGCGTAAGGAGGGAGAGCAAGCTAATTCTGAGGTGATAGGCACGCTGTGGCTACCTTAACTATTGTGAATGTGAAATCTCATTCATATCCTACAAAATCTGACTTGGTCAGTGCCGTTTGTAATATGCCATTTCGTGAAATAACGAATTCAAGGTAGCCTTCATGGTAAAGAATGTAATGATAATGTTCCTCACCCTGTGTAAGGTTGAAGGTTTCTCCGGTAAATTGTCTCAGCATATATTGATCTGGAAATTGAAATTCACTTGAGATTTTCTTGCAGGGACCTTGACAGCATACATTTTAACTTAGAATTTGTTCGACTCCAGATTTAAACAGAAAGGTCTTGAAGATGTTCACTTGTACTGGAAACCTTTTTGTTGATTTCTATCCAAGTTCTCTAGAATTGTGGTTTTCTTTCATACCAAATTAGTATCACGAATTGGTTTTGACCCTCAGGTCTTAATAGGTTTAAATTTCCATTGAGATACTTTAAAATGGATTTCAATTTTAAAGATCAATTGACCACCCACTCACGCCCCTACCTCACTTCTTATCCACTCACTCACTCATCCACTGTCTTCAGGGGAATCATGTGCCTGATTCATTATGAATATTGGGGGGATGGCATATCGTTTTTTAAAAAATTAAACTCTTTCCCCCTGTGTTTCTTATTTTTGAAAATCTTGTAAAAGCTCCTTTGAATGCCTGTTGTTTCCGTAACATTTTCCTCTGTAACATCTTTCAAGTGACTGAAACAAATCACCAATGATATGGGACCTTATCATAGTCCCAAAACTTTGTGTCTTAGCAAGATATAGCAATTAGTGGAAAAGAAAGGTTTTTATACAAATGCAGGAAGCTGGCTACTTTTTATGTCATGATTATACTGTATCTTTTGCAAATGTAAAGTTGTTGAGATAAGTGTACAATCAGTAATATTACATGAAGGAATTTTAAAGAAGATTCATCCAAATTAAAACACAGAAATTCTACCTTCATGGTACAGCGGTTTCTGTGAAAGAGAATAGCAAAATGCATACCGTTTTCACCTTGTAGAGGCTGAATATGTGCCCTGATATTTACGGTTCTTAGTAATCTGTAACTTCTGACTTTCCTGCTTCAGTAGAACATAGACTAAAATCAGAATAATGCAGCGTGACCCCCTGCTCAGGGTTGACATGCAAGTTTGTCAAGCATGCTGAATTTGCTTGTACCTTGAGCAAACTTACCATATTTAATTACAGTTTTTTATTTATGAGTCTCTCTACCTGGCTAACAAGGAGCTTCTTGAGGGCAGGGAACATAAATATCTTTCTCCATTACTTAACACAGTACCTGCAATGTAACGGTTGCTCATTGACAATGGAATGAATTGAGTCGTTTTAATAAAACCTCATTAAAAGGCAAAAAGCATGTTTATCAACCTCAGAGCAATTATTGTCCCAAAAGGCTGTATTAGTTTAAAGCAGTGGATCTCCACCTGGCTGCATATTAGAATCACCAGGGAGCTTTTAAAAAAGATCAATGCCAGGGCCCTGTGTCAGAGCAATAAAATCAAGAATCTCTGGGGGTGGGTCCTGGACATTGGTATTTTTGGGGAGCTCTCTAAGTGATTCCGATATGTAGCTATGATTGAGTCATTTGTTTAAAACTTAGGTTATGTATCTAATATTTGGGGACTGGCTTTTCAGAGGCTTACAGTTTTTGAAAAGCAGATTGTTTTTTGGGGGAGGTGTTGATGCCAAGAGACCCAAATGTGAGTTTTATCTTCTCTGTGTTTCTGAGTCTTGTTGTTTAAGAATTTTGTTTCAGCCTGTGTTTGGTTTTGATTTCTTGGGTCTTTCAAGATTCGCATTGATTTATGATGCTCATCTGATGCTAACACAGTGACTGACGTTCGGAACAACATGGCACAAGGATTGCTTCAGTAACAGTGATGGTGGCTGTCCACTATAATGACTTAATTTAATGTTAAGAGATTTATCAGTTTAGTACAGATTGTGTTTGCACATATAGTCTATTAAAAGAGTATGGTTATGTTGCTTATATACTTTAAATTCCATATTTGAAATTCCAGTAACACTGTACCAGAGAATTGAGTTAAATGCAGCCTTTATGTAAGTGCTGGGTTAATAATTTGTGAAATATATAATTTAACATGAAGAAAAACTCAGCTTTACTATTTTTACTAATTACTATGGCATTCACGTATATTGATTGGCCCACTGATATTGGTTGCCAGTACCCACAAAGGGAAATGTTACAATACATTGGAACATCTTTCTGGGAAATTTTATCTAGTCATTGTAGGTAAATTAGTTTTTAATGTTTGGAAAAGTGTGAGCCTGAAGGAACCAAGGGTTTACCAGAAATGAGTAGACGTTTCATGAACGAAGTGCTTGATCAGAGTGGCAGTCACGTAACGAGGTATAAGAAACACAGTCACCAGCTAGCTAGTTGGTGGCCCAGAAAGAGTCAAGCCACGGGGGTTTAACCGGAGTTCCACAGAAGAAAAACCTGTTAAACGTGATGTGGATCCTGCACGTGGCAGACCTTTTTGGGAGTAGGTAAGCAGTGTTGATTCCTGATGATGGAGTTTGCTTCTGGGACCATTTTGGGGGGAACTGAGCTACTCATTGGCTTTTCTGTGCCTGCACAACTTTCTCTGAGTCTCTTCATGCCCACTTTTTACATATTGCCTTAGGACGTGGAGTTTCTGAAATGTCACTTGCACATTGTATAA